CGAGCTTTTAAAATTATTAAAAAATAAATTCTTTTTTTTTGTGTGAAATTGAAAAATTTTGTTCGTCACAGTTGAGAAAATTTCTATTAAGAGAAAAAATTGAAAACAGATGGAATCGTTGATGTCATAAACAAGTTAAATATTTATTACAAAATTTTCTCGAGTTGAGATTCAATTTTAAAGTGAAAATTTTTGTTCTAGAATTTTTTTTATCCAGGTATAAAGGAAGACTTTTTTGTGTTGATGGAAATTTTTGTTGTTGAATTTTTGATTTTTATGGAAGAAAAATAGCAAAAGAAATTTAGAGTCTTGAGTGTTTGCAGGAATGTTAGCCAAAAATGCAATTTATATTTTTTTTTGCCTTTTTACCACGGACCCCCCCCCCCCCTTATTTGATTTTTCCGATAAAATATTTAAATCGAATTTCGATTTAAAAAAAATAATTAAACATAAACCATCAACAAGAACCTCCTTCAAATTCAACCCTGAAATCAACAATTCCCCTCCAAGAAAATCCAATTTCAGGTAAAAATGCATTCATCATAGAAAATTTCACAAAACAAAATTTATATATTTTTTTCTCATTCAAAGTCACAAAAACAACATTTTTCTAAGTTGATCCTATAAAAAAGTGCGAGATCAAGTGGACAAAAATAAATTTATGATGTTCCTTTAGCCCAAAAAAAAATTCATTTTATTTCAAACTTTTTTCATTTTCAGACTGGAAATTTGTGCTCCCTTATCACCATTATTATCTTCATCAATTTTATTTCGAGTGTATTCAGGTGGCGTAATTCGAAAGTTTTGAAAAGGGTTCTCATACCAGTGGCGAAGTAAGGGTTTTTAATTGGTAAGCATTTTTATTTTTTGATACACGGAATTTATGAATAGCTTTTTTTCGAAAATTGAATTTCATGCTTCAAAGACAATATTTGGATTTTTTTGAATTTTTTTGAAAATTCAATCAAAAATTGTAAGAACTTTGAGTGAGAACCAATAGAAAGACCTTCAAGAATACACCCCAGATCTCAACCACAAGATTCAAAATTTATGTCAGTTAAGGCAAAACACCAAAGTTCATAGAAAAGCGATTTAAGAGATGTTCCTTATAAAAAGTATGTGAAAATAAATAAAGGAGATTAAATCGTCGTCATTGTAAATTTATTTAATAGCCTCGAGGCATTAACGATCCAAAATGTCACATAATACACACATTTACAGTGGCGAAAACACAGCAAAAGAAAAATTTCCTTTTATTCCAAAATAGATTTTTACTTTTTTTATTCCTCGACTTGTTGTAGGCTTTCTTCACTGATTTAGTTCACTTTCTGTCACATAACTATTGTGGCTTTTCCTTTATCTATTCACAATTTAACATTAACACAAATATTAAGATTTTTTTATTTTAATCTACACTTTTTCATCGAACCGAAATACTCGATAGTTCCGAATTAATGTATAAACTTGAAGCAACTTTGATTGTGCCGCGAGTGGGGTCGAGAGATGAAAATAATTTTTTTTACGTTATATTTTTTTGAATTATCATTTACGGATCTTCCTTTTTTTTCTATTTTTTGGTATTCACTAAAAAAATATCACAGATAGAAATTTCGCGAAATTCTTTAATTAATTTTTTTTTTGGAAAAAATATTTTTTTTTCTTTTTTTTATATTCTTATTTTTATTATTATTTTTTTTTGTTAAATATAATAATATAAAGCGAAAAAGTGGAAAGTGTAAATACAGTTCTGTTCATATGAACCTTATAAAGTTGACTGACAACAGCCACCTAACAATTTTCTTTCATTGTTTGAGCTCATTTTTCAATCCTGGGAAAAAAAGTGAGTTTTTCACTCTCTCGCTCTCAATTTTTCTGTTGGATATCCTCTCAGAGAGTGTTCTTGTAAAAGCTCCGAATGATGTGCAACAGTTGATTCTGCTGCCATACGGCTTTATACTTTATTTTTTATCGTAAATTAAATTTATGTCATGATTCATTGCTATGAATGTTGATTATAATCATCAACAGCAACAATTAAATGCATCCATTCTGCTCTCACTTTTGGTTCTTTAATCAATAATGTGATGAAAAGTCTGAGTATTTTATTTTTTTACATTATTATATTTCATAAAATTGACATCAAGTTGATGGAGAGTGCATTACGGCAACCGCTGCATTATTGCTGTTGTATTTTATTTTATCTTCTATCGGTGTTGTATGCAATTTTCTATTTATAGTGACTAGCAATGTTGCCATGTATACGCAGTTCTGCTCAGGGAAGTATATGCTATCACATGTCAAATTTTTCAGGGATGAATGGGAAATTCTGTAAATTTTTTCTCTCCTGCTTTTGAAGTATTGATGACTTTAAAGAGGTTGCTGGAAGTGAAAACAAATTTTTTGTTCACTTGAGTAAGTTCCTAGAAATGGTTGTTCACTCAGTGATTTAACTGCAAATACACATACGTTGGAGATTTTGAAGCCTTTTCAAGCCGCACACTTGAAAAATGTTTTGCAGCTGATTCATGGAAAGTTGATGCATTTGTAGGATGCAGAATCAATAATACTAAAATTTTTAAATTGCCTCATTTTCAACATCCGATAACTGAGTTTGTGATGGGTGTCGTAATAGTTCTTGAACTACTTTAATGTAGGTATAGCGATTTTGGGTTCGAATGCAAAAGAGGGAGAAACAACATGCTGAGCAAAGTTTTGATCAGAAATCCCCTAAAACCTTCCCATGATAAACTATAACCAGCTCCAACATACCAAGATTTAAATCGAATTCAGAGCCATGCCAAAGTCACGCCGGCTTGCTCTCGAATTTCTGATTGATTAAACGACTTGTGCTATTCTGGATATTTATAAATCACATTTGAATTCCAATAGAAGTTACCGAAAATTCTACAGAATTACTTAAACAATACAATGCGCTATCCACACTATCTGCTTGCACTACCATACATCAACTTCAAGTAGACTTTAATAGCCCCAATGTACTTATTATGATGATGTTTATGGTTGCTGCTTTTCAATACTTTTGTCTATCAAGCTTAATGTTTGCTTGTTCCGTGCTATTCTCTCCCTCTCGGTGCTTCATTGATGTACAAAGCTTGATGTTAAATGTACATACATCCTAGTGCATATATTCTTTCATCTAAACATGCTAGAATCCTTAAATGCCATGTAGCTTTAGATTGTATAAATAAAACGTGAGTATTACATCATGCTTGAGGCTTCAATTGTTCAAACATCATAATAATTGTTTTACCTGCTGCTGCTATTGATGTTGCGTGATGTATTCTTTAACAAAAAAAAAAAAAATAAATTTGCTGTATCAATAATATCAATACTTGAGAATCAATTGTGAGGGGGTTGGAGGATTTAATGAATCGAATGTAAGCAAAGTAATATTAAATTTCATATCCTGCCTCAATTTTGAAGGCTTCCAAATTGCAGTTAAACCTGAAAATTCAATTTTCATACTTCAATCTGCCTCAAGCCTTTCTTCCCCCTTATTTCAATAAAAAAAAATCTTTTTCTTTTCTTAAATTGAGATTTTATTTTATTTTCACTCGAATATATGCTGTATGATAGATGTCAAAAGCATGTATACTTTTCACCTTATAACGAATGACTTAACATGATTTGATTGATTTTTCAACACCCTTATTTCGATGGAGCTTTCTTTCTTAAAGTTTTACATTGGAATACATTATGAGTGTAAAATTTAGGATGAAAAATGATTGCCACAAATGTATTAGAACCTGTCATGACTTATAATTCGACATTATGTATTCGAAACCCTGCGACTACTAATGCGTAGCTAGATTATGTAGGTGGATTGAAAATTTTCTACTTTCAGTCATTTTTGATTTGATATTTTTTTTTTTTCATGGAGGGTGTTGAATCCAGATCTTTGATATTTTATTTAAAGTGACTTCTTTTTGATGAAAATTGAAATTGATGTTTAAATGTATTTGGAAAAAGTGGATTTTCAGGGTTGTAGGATTTTTTTTAATTGCACTTTATTGCATTTATTGACGACATACTGTGCGGTAGTAATTCACATTTTGCACTTTTGTATTTGTATACATATGAATTAATATTATGTAGGATCAAACTTCTAATCTTCAAATCTAGGTTTCAAATAAACTAAGGCTCTCGATTCGATCTTCTGTGGGCGTGACGTGATACTTTTCAGGTCCGTTCTAACAATATTCCATTCGTGGGTAATCTTGTAGCTCTCGTTCCTATTTCTCCCGCTACACTTCAAGTTCCTGACCCGTTCCTTAATCCAACGATGCCCAAATGCCCAACTATGGCTTGATCTCCTACATTAAGCAGTCGAAGTATCTAAACTTCCGAAAAAGAACAAATTTGGAAATGGCTGGATTCGAACCGACGACCTTCAAGTTACCATCCCAAATTTGAGCCAAGCGCCTTACCTATACGACCAGCAAAGCACTTAACTGCTTCCTCATATAGATCATGTTCAAGTCATAGTCAGAACCAAAGCTAAGAACCCGTAGAGTTTAAATCATGTCTGGAACTTCAAAGCCGATATCCAGGATAAAAATTAAAAAACGAGCTACAAAACAAGAGATTCTTCCGTTCTGGTTCCGAAAAAACGGACAGCTTGCAAGCTATTCCTTTAAGTGCATTGCAATTAATATTATTATTTATTTATTCTCAAATTCGAAGTACACTAAGCGTTATTTCAAAATAGATAATAAAGTATCAAGCCCCCCAATAACTTATGTTATAATATAACATTTACAACTAAATCACAAACTTGTCATTTAAAAGGTATCAGTGAATGTATCACATCTCTATCATTTACTTCGTTCAAGCTCTTTGTCTTGATTTAAATTCACAACTACATCTTCATTTTCTATAATACAATCATTTGTCGTATGGTGAAATTCCGTACGAATACAGACGAAAATAAATATTACTTTTCTCACGATGACTAATCTTTTGATTGATTATGCCTAAATTTTTATTTATTCGAAGTTTGTTGAGTTTTGTGATGAAAAGTGAAATAAATAATTATTTAAGTAATAATTCGTGGATTATAAGTTTGAATCCTTTTGAATTGTAAAGTAAGAATCATAAGATATAATTTTAATAAAATTTAATTCAAAAAGTAAGAAAACATTTCAAAATTTGACGAAACTAATTCTTTTCAGACAAAAAAATGAACTTTTTTTGTGAATTTGCTGAATTTACATTCAAGCATGGAGGAAAAGTTTATGGATGTACGGTCAAAAATCAGCACATACCCGAAAATATTGATTTAAACTTTCAAGGACTGCACTGGTTTGGAAAATCATTTCTAGATGTTCAAGATGTACAATTTAGTGACTGTACTGTCACAAAAGTTCCTCAAGGACTGACAAGAATATTTCCAAATTTAAGGATTTTGTGCATTAACAATTCAAAATTGAAGAAAATCAGCAAAAATGATTTGATTGAGTACAGACATTTTGAGACATTTTTTTTCGAGCAAAATGAACTTGAGTTTTTGCCGGGCGATTTGTTTGAAGACTTTCAGAACATTGAGTGGATGTCCTTTTTTGGTAATCAGCTGGAAGTAATTGAATATAATATTCTGGATGGTCTAACAAAGCTGAAATTCGTGTGCTTTACACTGAATCAAAACTATGATAAATGCTACTCAGTTTATCCTGATTACGACTCAAACGCATCACTTGAAGATGTCAAAAAAGATCTTCTGGACAAATTTTTCTCAAGACATAAAATGCTGACAGATTTGCGAGATTCTCTTAAGATCTTAGTTAAAGAAAAGGTTGAACTACAAGCTGCAAATGAAAAGTTAAAAGTTGATAACGACTTACTGGTTGGATTTGAGAAAAAAATGTACAAAGACATCCTTAAACTAAGAAATACGCAAAAGAAGCTGGAAGATGAAATTGAAGAACTTGAAAATCCTGAACCTAATTGTTCAAAAGTCCAGCACCTAAGTGGAATATTCGGAGATGTAAAAGATCTGATCAAAGATGACAAATTTAAAGATTTTGAGATAACTGTTGGAGATGAGACATTTCGTGTCCATAAATTTCTTTTAATAGCTCGATGCCTAACTTTGTCTGACATTTTAATCAACGATCCTAAAATTGAATGCATCAACTTTACATACATTAGCGCAGACATAATTAAATTAGTTGTTGACTTCATTTACACTGACGAATTTCCTCGCAACAAAGACATAAATTATCTGCAACTTTTCATAGCAGCTAGTCGACTTAAAATTGCCGAACTTCAAAATTTCTCAGCCACTAAAGTTTTTGATCAAATAAATGCAGAAAATGCATTGTATATACTGAAAATGAGTAACAAATACAACCACGCTTGGCTAATGCAGCAAACTTTCAATAAAATTAAGGAAATTCGTCCTAAAATTGAATTAGAGGACGAGTGGGCCAAGCAGCCAGGAAGAGTTGAGGCAGCATTAAAGAATTTGCATGAGAGTGACTTAGATGATAAAATAATTTTATAAATCTATTAAATCTATGGCCAAATGATCAAAATAAACTTCTACATTATTATATTCAAAGACCGTCCATTCTTTTGATCAAAAATAGACATCCAACAACTTCATAACCAGCCAATCTGTTGAAATTATACCAGCAAACCCTTTATTATTCAAAAAGCCCATCTAAATTTAAATCCGAACATGTAATTAAAGTCTTATAGTCATGCCAACAAATCTCTAACTAGATTTATATTGAAAATAGAGCTCATTGACCATTCGACGTTGACAAGCGTATGAAATTGAAAAACCCATGCAACATTTTATTCCTTTTATATTGATTCGAGTCACTTACTTTTATGACTATGTGACTAGAATATCAACTTGACATATTTGAAACGATATTTGATAATCTGATTACCAGTTTATGTTGCCCAGATTTTTTATATTTTTTCACTTCCAATTCTTTTGGCTATTTTTATTTGAAAATGTTTATATACCTTCCATTACGTATAGATGTGCTATATTTGTCCACATAAATAAAATTGGAGATGCGTGTATGTGATGTGAATCAAATCAAATAGCAGCATAAAATAAGTGAGTAGCTTGCCATTCGCAATTGAAACTTTGTCATCTATTTGTTTCAATTTCAATAAGATGATGATATTACAAAATCATTTGGTCATGTAACATAGGATGATAAAGACATTCTTTTTGGTTCGAATGTGTGATTTTGGGGTTGTCAGGTAATGAGCTTAAAAGAGAAATAATAACACAAAAGGGACATAATAGAAATGAGTTTCTTGTATTGACTCAAACAAAAGAAAAATCATCGTCCTGAAAAAAAAAATTAAATTGTTCAATTCGGGCTTGCTCGAATGACTTGAATGAGCTGTGGAAATGAAAATGGAAATTAGGAAGGTTCTTGAGTTTAAATTTATCATGAAATGATTTTGACTGAGGGGATTCTTTCTTAAGTTGGTTTCTTAACCCTTCTTTGTTTGGGGAACTGAAACTTTCTAGTTTCAAGCTTGTGTCAATCTGGTTTCAATCTAATGCCAAGTTAGTATCAAGCTAGTGGCTCTCAGCAACGGTCATGAAAGGGTTATTTTTAAAGGACTGTAAAACATACACTAACTGACATAAAATGACTAGATTCCAACAATACTCACATGTATACCCACCCCAACGCCTCATTCTCATCGTCTCTTCTTGCTTCCTTTTTACCCATTATTAAAATAGCAAGCCTCATAAAACATGCAAATGAGAAAGTTTTCAGCAATAAATTATATTTTCATCGCAGTTTCAAGTTTTTAACTGTGTCAATTTTTAAGGAAAAAAAAAACAAATTTTTTCATGATATATTTTACGCTAGCGTAAAAACTCTTCTTAATGGTTATTAAAATGGGTTTGCATGTGTCGTTATTGTATTATATTTATACACACAACAGCTATATTTAGCAAGATGTATTAAAGTATTTTACTTTGAAGGTATAAAATATTAATGGTTCAAATGCTTCAAAAGGTTAAGTTTGGGAGCTGAAAAGTTCAAATTTGTGGTCAAATGAAACTTTAATAATTGTTGCAAAGGTTGCAGTAATATTCTTTTTAGATTCCTAGCTTCAAATTGTTAAGTTTTGGAGCTGAATAGTTCAAATTTGTGGTCAAATGAAACTTCAATAATTATTGCAAAGGTTGCAGTAATATTCTATTCAGATTCTAACCTTCAAATAGTTAAGTTTTGGAGCTGAAAATTTCAAATTTGTGGTCAAATGAAACTTCAATAATTATTGCAAAGGTTGCTGTAATATTCTATTTAGATTCCTAGCTTCAAATGGTTAAGTTTTGGAGTTGAAAAGTTCAAATTTGTGGTCAAATGAAACTTCAATAATTATTGCAAAGGTTGCTGTAATATTCTATTTAGATTCCTAGCTTCAAATGGTTAAGTTTTGGAGTTGAAAATTTCAAATTTGTTGATGAAATGGATCGCTTCTTTTATGACGTTAATGGAGACTATTTTAGGATTTAAAATCCTCACCTTAAAAAGAATTACCAGATAAAATATTTTTTTATAATTTTTTTTTTAAAAAAAAGGTTCAATACGATTTTGCCATTATTTATTTGGCCTATAGTTTAATTTTTACACTTGAATTATTCTAATTTGCTGTCTATTACGCTACATGTTGCTAAAATAGACGATAGAAAAGCAAATGTATCAAATTGTCTATTCCATTTTTTTGCTTCATGTCGGTTTATTGATCTGTCCATCTATAGAAAATCCTATCAATAGAAATTCAAAGCTACATTAAATTGGTAACAATAACAAATCTGATTGATATACTCATAAATTAAGTTGTTATTGAGAACCCAAACTGCTCACGTACCTCCGCCTGCCCTCTAAAGTTCCTCACATGCCGCCATCACCATCAAGAAGCAAATTTTATTTCACTAAAAGGAAAATAATGAAAAAAAATATTTCTGTAACTTTATTTATTGTGACTGCTCGTGCTTGAAAACATTTCAGTTCGCAAAATGTCTCCCTGTGCTTTCATCACTGTGCCAATTTTTAAGTATTAAAAAAATATACACTAGCTGAAAAAAAAATGACCAAGCACACGAGCACAACATTAAATTTTCCATTTTCTTTTCTTTTCCATTTTCCATTTCACTCACCTACTTGTAAATGCTTCTTGTTCTTATTCTTTTGTTTTCTTGTGGAAATTAATTTTCATGATAGCAGAAAATGAAGGGAAAAGAATTTTATTTTATTTTTCTCCTTCTTCTAGATTCTCTTTTTTTTTGAGTGAAATACAGTTAAATAGCTGAGAAAAATCGATATACGGTGCTTATGTATGATACGTAATTTGTAATCATACAACAAAGGAGTCCAAAAACCGAAAGAAAGTGAATTGGAAATAGATAGAAAAGCAGGGTTTAGCTAGAAGGTCCTACTCTCCTAGATGAGATAATTTCTTAAATCCAAAAGTCCCAAAAACTCTAGCTACGCTCCTGTAAAGAAGTAAATGTAATTTGATGTTTCTATTTCCAAATAAATTGGAAAAAGTCTTGACAAGGATGAGATTAAGCTAACGCATTTTTCAAGATGCGGGTGATAGTGTCACAAATCTGATGATTGTCATTGAAGTTTAAAAGCAGATACAGAACAGAGTTTAGTGGTAATGGAGATGATGTTTGATATTTTTATATGGAATAAATCGGATTTAAGTGTAGATTGAAAACACAGTAATGAGATGAAGTACATCCTCAATGTTTAAGTCTTGAAAAACTCTTAGAAACTAGGCAAGATAGATACTCATGATTCTCAAATTAAGAAAGATGCTTTTGGAGTCAAGTGAAGTTCAGAGCCTTTAAAAGTTGACTTGTGATTAAATGAATTGTCAACTAGCTGCAAACGCCTCTTTTCATCTCACGAATATCTCCAAAAGTCATAACCTTAGCCATATAGACACAATAAAACAACAACAAGACATTCCATTTGAAAAAAAGTAAACCCAAATACCAAAATATGCTCTAGACCTGAGGGTGAAACTACACACATATTTTATTTTTATTTCTCTCATATCACCTCCCCTCCCCATCGATGTTGATAAGGTGTTGGGTAATATGTGTAAGTAGATTGATGAGTAAATGATAAGCGACTATGTACAATCCGCCAAATGTGTGTATAAATTTCCTATGAATAGGCAACTCCCATTAGGAGAGTTGATGTTGTTATGTCTGAATATTTTCATCTAAAGTTACAAGCTATATACTCTGTGGTGAGCTTTCATTTCCATTTCCGCTGGATACATTTGATGAATCATTTGAATCTGATTCGTACTGACATCATTGATTGTCTCTCTTTTAGTTCCGTTGCCATTCACTTTTAATCTCTAAGTTTATTATTTACATTCATATCTTATCAATCTACTCCTTATCATGCCTTGATAAAAAAATATATATCTTTTTTGTGTGCCACTAGAAGAGAAAATTATTGAGTTGTGGATGAAAATCAACTCCTCGTCTATTCAATTTTCTATGAATTTTATGGTTGAGAGACTTTTTTCCATCTTCATCATTCATCATTTACTTGATTATATTCGAACTTCTTTATTAACTTTTTCTGTTCCCTTTTCTCACATTTAGCTTGGCATTTTCTTACAAGTAAAGAGCGACGACAAGAAAAGTTGATTATTTGAATTCAAATTAAATTTTGGGTTAGCGTCATTGTGGCTTCATTTTATTAATGGAAATTGATTATGAAAGTTTTATATTTTTTGAAAAGATGTTTAAATGAACGTGAAAATTGTAGAAGAAATAATTGGAAAATTTTAGTGATGATATTATTATTCTGAACTAGTTTTATTAAAATTTAAATATTTTAGGGGCGTAAGGGGTTTCATATAAATGAGGTCTATAAAATAATGAAATTTAAACCAACTTCTCCAAAAAATAACTTTTTTTGATTTAACGAAGCACCCCTCCCTTCAACCCCTCAGCTTTTAATAGCATCACTAAAAACCACTTGAAAGCCCCTTCATTCTCAAACCTATCAGTGATGATGATGATGATAATGTCCTTTTACTCCACTGTAAAGTGTAGGGCGTTTACGTAATCTTTGAATCTAATGCGATTGCTAGCTAATGCCGCAAGCTTACTGAGTTGATAGCCCTGCTGAGTCGAACCTTACAGTGTTTAAGCTACATCAGATATACCCCTGATACGTTTATCAGCCTAATTCTATCATATCACTTACTGAAAGTAAAACTGAATTTTTTAATCTCAATCCAGCAGTAGTTCTTTCTCAAAAATACTTAAACATCCAACTAATTTAAAGACATTCCATTAAAACGCAAAATGCCATAAACATCCAAATTCCCAATTGTTTGCCATTAATAAATGTCGGCATGAAAACTGTGTATGAACACAAATTTACTACAAACAGTTCAATTTCATGCCTATAGTCTCAAAGGAATTAATTGAAACGTGTCTTACAGCAGCAAATTGTATTTCGTCTATAACTCCTACGTGAAAAATTGTCTTGTGGAATCTATTAAAGGACT